TCACTAAATGCGCCGTGATACATAGGTAAAAAGTCAATTCGGCCCCTAAAAAATCACTAATGGCCCCTAAAAATCGAACTCGATGCGCCAAATTAATGACTCCTGAAACTCCAATACGAGTTTTGAACACTGTCGGTAAGATCATTTCGCCTTGCCGATCAACTGTAAACTTACACATTCAAACGTAGGGTTAGCTCTAAAAAGATACAACTCAAGAAAAGATAACAATTTTGATAAGGAAAGATGANGGGGGGGGGGGGGTTGTAACAGGGTCTGAGCTGACCATACTAAACCTAGCTCCCTCTTGATAGCATACTTGCACGGGTACTGCTGCCACTGCTGGAATCATCCAAGGAAAAAAAGTTCTCGGGGATATCCCCTAATTGTGGTACTACCCCGAGTTGTTGGATGATCCGGACATTTTTAATTAATTTTGTTAGCACCGCAACTCAAACCGCATCATTTGAGTCAGTAACCTAATTTATTGGGGCACTACCGCCATTCATTGGAAATCCCCAACACCCAAACTTTGCTTCTTATCCAACTTATTTATTCCAGTGCAAGCAAATGAAGATCAATCGAATTGAATAATTTACCTACAGCCTTTTGTGAGGCTTTGCCTTATCCATCCTCCTCACTTTTCGTGAAGCACCCTTAAGGTATGAGTGGCTCGAGCGTTCCTCCCTCTATGCAAGTTCCTTACGTAATAATTTATGGGTGGCCTCTGAAGGGTTTAACTTTGACAACCATGATAATTCTCGCCCATTCATGCTCATCAATTCATACAGAAAACTGTAACTGACGCCATTGTATTCAAGGCAGAAGACAGTCATGCCATTGCGGAGGATCATGCTGCCGTGCTAAGGAAGAACGTTGTATGAACATTAGAGAGTTGCCAAATTTCCTGCAATAAAATGTGTATTTTTGAGGAAAGATGTGAATATTTGTCTTAGAAATTTTCAGGCACATTAGGTAATATTGCGAACAAAATTATATGAAAAATTGGAGGGAAAATAGTCATAAGTTTACTAGGAAATTCGTGTTTTATAAATGGAAATTTGGCAACGCCTGAAGGCTCATACGGCGTTTTCCCTTAGCACGGCAGTATGCTCGGTTGATCACAGGTAATATTTACGATTTAGCGGCACTCGAGGATATTTGCCGGAACGCCATGTATAGCTGTAAGCTAATAAAAGTACCCCTGAAGCGAACTTAGTGCTAAACGGAAGAACGGGGATAGGGAGAGGGGTTGAGATAGCCTGCGATGGTATGGATGGGTGGTTCTATTTCATTTAAATGTTGCTTAAATCCGACATGTAACTGTTATTCTGGGTATACCTACATGCACAGCTCATTAACGGAAATCCGCTTGTATTTGTTCGTTAGCTCACGGAACAGTGTTGACTATACTGCCTTTGAGCGTTGCATGAGGTAAAATTAGGAACAATTGGACGTTTCTAAGAGTCACCCCTAGAAAAATGCATTTTTTCTGTTTTCGTGTATAAACTCATGGATTTTTTGCCTCTAAATTTTTTTCACGCCATATTAAATTGCGCGAGCACTTCTCTGATAATTTTCGAGAGAAAAAAAAATTGAAGTTTCCCAGAGGGATGAAGGAGAAGAAGTTTCTTTAGAAGAAAAATTTCTTGACTGGGGAACCGTTAATAGGGTGGGGGAGAGACAGAATTGCGAATTGATTGCAAGACCTCCAAGACATATTGTTATCACGTCACTGGCTTTTAAGTGCTACGTTCATTGTTGCCCCTTTACCAAATCTATCAATAAACAGGCTTCACATAATCTACATTTTGAATAAGGGCGGCTTCAGGACACCTTCAACAAATTAACAAGGATATGGCATACTATTAACTCTGAATTTCAAATTTACACAAACAAGTTAAAAGATGCAGCAGTATGTGCGCAAAAATTGACGTCATCTCTGACAAAACAGCTTTAAGTGACCATTCATACGCGAAAGGCTATACTTATTGTAATCCTTATTGTTGGGTGCCCATTTCTGCCGACTTCTAACCTTAAAATTTGTTCGACGAGTATCCAAAACGTCTCGCAATCATGCAGAATATAAAATGTACCACCACTATTTTGAATGAAATGGAATAAATGATGCCCTTCATACACTTTCGAGGATACAATTTTTCAACCTTTAATAATTCAAACAATTTCTAGGGGCCCTTAGGATGATTATTGATAACAAGGGGGTACGATCCATACCGCACCTCGTGGTCCAACCTCCTGATGTGCTTTGCGTTTCAGACGTTATTCGTTACGCGTTACCATTATGATATTATACATATTATACATCGCGGGAAAAAAATTGGTCATGTGAACCAAACGTTCGGTATTCCATATCATCCCAAATATTCAGTTTGTCAAACTGAACTTTCGGTTTGTGTAACCGAACGTTCGGTATATGTGACAAAACTTCAGTTCCGGATCAAACGTCAGTTCACTTTACGCACAAGTTCGGTTACTCGAACCAAAAGTTTGGTTTGAAAAATCGAAAATTCAGTTTGACGAACCGACTTAGTTGCAGGAACACTGAACTATGGCACGACCGAACTTTTCAGTGTAGAGTAGGATGTTACGAAGAATGGCAGATTCGTTCAATAAAAGTTTCCGCTCGGACGCCACCGAGTGCATTTTCTCAAAACTTTATTTTTGCACTTACCGCTCTGAATTGGACTTATTGTCCCACTTAAGGAGAAAATTTCTTATGCATTAGGAGCGTTAGTTGGAAGCAAAGCCGTTTCGGATACGTGCTCCGGGCTCCGGGGTCATGGGCTCTAGCATAACACCGCCGTGCTGAGGAAAAATGCCGTATGAGCCGTCAGACGTTGCCAGATTTCATTCCATAAAAAATTAAATTTTCCCAGAGCAACTTTGAATATGTCTCCGTCTATTTTCCGAAAATGTTCTTCGCAGTCGGTACTGCCATTTTATTTTATCAAAAGATTCCGAGATAATTCCGATTTCCGGAAACATATTCCGATTTGCCAAAGTTCCGAGAAAAATTCTGGGGAAAAATTCCGAAATACGCCCAGGTTTAGTTCCGATAATCGTCATATTTGATCAAAAAGTCCCTAAATTTTATCAAGTAAACATATCAGTAAGCACAGTACAGTGAACACATCGGTATTTTATCAAGTCAAACAAGCGAACTCCGCTTTCAAGGAAATTCTGAAATTAGCTGAAAATTCCGGGAAAAGTTCCGATTATTTGAAAAGTTCCGAATTTTGGAATTTATTCCGGGAAATGACAGCTGGTGCCAAAGTGAAGCTGAAAGAAAAAATAATGATTAACTCTCGTGAAAAATAAACATTTTATCGGCGGAAATTTAGCAGCTGTGGGATTTTCATACGGCATTTTTCCGTAGCATGGCAGAACACGAGTCCGGTTTAAAATAGCGGATGAAAAATTTCACTCGGAGACCGGGCCGGAGCTTGTCATGGCTAATTTCTACTCTAATACAGTGTAAACTCGCGTTTTGGCATCATTATCGGAGCATGAAATTAATTGAAATGCACGGGCGCAGGCATTGAAAATAGAATAACTGCAGAGCGGCGCACAGTGGATCGAGTCAATAAGACAGGTCGGACATAAAATTTTTGATTAAAACTGCAAATTTCGATGTTTATTTCGTCACATTTTAAATTTTGAAGGGTGATTCTGGAAGAACATTTTACAAGGAAACAAATGAAACCACTTTTAAAATCTCAAACTTTTGTATAAACGGAGGTACAAGCTTTTAAAGTTTCCAAACTTTGTTCGACCTCCCCCGTTGGCTGGATCCACTGTGCGGCGCACGATCTGAATCGACGGAAGTCCCGGCTCCCGTCGCCGCGCCACCCTATTTTCAGCGAGAAATTTGAATTTTAAAGTTTGTTTACACGCAAACCTGAACGCTACTTTTACGTTGACGCAAATCGAAAAGTTTTCGTCATCTGTATCGCCTCCCCGCATCGCGGGTCACTGTCATGAAAATGAACCAGTAATGCTAAGTGCCGGGTCTTTTTTATTGTTTCGCGAATGTGTGCTATCTGGAACCCGTGTTCTGGAACGTGCCTAAAACCGGGCGCTTTTGCGGCGTTGCCAGCTCGAACCATCTCATCTCGCAAATTCTTCGGGGGCCCTTCATAAGTTGTTTGACGCTTCAAAAAGTGGATGTCTCTCACTGTTATCATATTTGAGGGGCCCGGAGGACAAGGTGCATAAGTGCAGTTTTTGCTACTTCCAGAAATACATGTCTAAAGTCGCAAAATTAAATGGAGCCTTACGGCGGAGAGGAAGTTTGAACTCACTTTTTGATGCTTTTTGGATTTAGTTGTGAATTTTTCACAGAATGCACTTCGAACTAGTTTTAGTTCAGTTCATGAATATTAGTATCTCAATTTGCTCAAAAACTGCACTTATGCGCCTTGTCCTCCGAGCCTCTTATTTGAGCTTCAAAGCTTTACAATGTTTTCTAAATATATCTCTCCCCCCCCCCCCCTTCTGCAAATTCCTCTCCTCCTCCTCATTCCTCTCCTGCATATGTTACAAAAATTTAAATTAAAAGTATAAAAAAGCTTAATGGTTCACAGTAAGGCGTGAATGATCGATCTTTGATATTTCCCCATTTGAAGCTATGGTAAAGAATCGAATCTAGGTCTAAATGGAAGATCCATCGATAAATCGCAAAGCGCGCCACGCTGCCAACAAACACTCAACAAGGCGCGGATTAAGAAAGTCCATGCCTTCTAAGTGGAAAGTTTTCTTTCGACTCCTAAACTCATATTACAAAGCTAAGATTTTAGAAAATAGTAAAAATTACATAGGAAAAACTTCAAAACAATACTTTTAGACTCTGACATCTATTAAAAAGGATGAAAACGTAAAAATAACATTAATTATGTTTAATTTGGCAACCATCAAAAAGAATAGACAAGTCTCTTTTCCTCTCATAATGATAGATTTGTATCGAAGGAAAAACATATGATTTGTTTTGAGAAATAATGGAGTAAATATGGCGTCTTTTTTAAATCACGATGTTAAATTTTGAAGTCTAAAATTGGAGGTGTGTGATGTTTTTTTTTTCTAACTAAAAATGTTCGGGATAAGTTTGGACGTCAAATGTTTTAAAAAATGCCGGGCGAAGTTTTTGAGGCACTGATTGAAATACTCATTGAGCTCTCCGAAGTGATGACTAGCTTCCTATATTCCAGGTTATTTTCTTCTGAGTGAAGGTATTTTGTGTAATTATTTCCTTTTTAAAATTTTCATTTATATATTTATTAACCCTTTGTAGCACACGAATATTTTTCACAATTTAACAATTTTCTATTTTCATTGATATCCTTTACACACGTCATTGTACTCAGCTTTAATATGACAAAAAAATTCGGATTCCTTTGGCCACTTTGATGGGAGAGTATTGCCAAAAATGAAGGTGGCAAGGCAGTCTAGCCACTAGGACTCTAGTATTTTTCTGACATGAGATACCTATTCTTTTCAAAGAATAAAAAGATAAAAAAAATTACTAAATGGATTGATAAGAATAAAAAGAAACTTGAAAATTAAACAATTTGTATTTATTTTGGGCGAGAAATCGTTTTCTAATTCAAACGTGCATTCTTATCACCGCATGTTGACGAAACATTAGAGGTTAGACCGTTTTTTGCCGAGTATCCTCCATTTTTATAATCATCCTTATTAGTATAGACATTGGAGGATACCATCACACCGTTGCCGAGTCCTTGTTACCAATATTTTATTTAAAATTATTTGTTTACAGCAGTTGACTAGTGCGTCTAGCCGTAAAGGGGTCGTGGATCCAGTGGAATGGAAAAGACTGGTGCTCTGATGTTCATTCGAAGAGTTCCAGTTTTCAAGAGGAGAATAATATGATTCAAAATTATTGTTGTTAAAATTCCCGCGACATTGACAGTGAATAAAATCGAAGTTCCCATTCCGTGCTATTAAGATCTCGTTTTGGACCATTGGCGTGCACCTGTTCCATGCAACGGTACATCGATTTTCACTTAAGGAAGCAAGATTATGTCTTCGCCCCAGACGATCAGAGCTTTATGTTTGCAAATCACGTTCGCAAAGTAGATTTCAGCAAAGTGTCTCGAAAACAGTCACAGTAACGAAGCACATAGGTTTTAATTCCTCCTATCGGGATACGAATCAAGATATTTGTCACAAAAACGTGACGATTCTGTAAGTACTAATTCCGGCCAAGGCCGGTAGTCAAATTTTCACAGTTTGGAACTCTGTAAATATATGGCAAGGAGTTCACGGTTTTCCAATATTTTTGGAAGAATAACTCTCCAAATCCGGGAAATCTCAACGTCCCTTCCTTTTTACATGCCTTTGGTACATTTCAATGTTAGGTACAATTTTAAAAATTCTATGTTTTATGACGTATTGTAAATTTCATGATGAATGTGCATTCAGGGTCTTAAAATCGTTTAACATACTATTGTATGCTGCATATTTTGTAGCAGGAGCAACGAATTATTTCGTCTAAAATTACGGTAGGAAATCAAAATTTCAATCTAAGTAAGAATATTTGACTATTTGCCTAGGCATTTGACAAAATGCCTGATTTGACTATTTGCCATCGACATACTCATCTCCATCTGTGTTACCCTAATATTCCGTTCTGTGTGTCAGGTTAGCCACGGGAAGGATGATGCTCGCAGGAGGGTGAGTTCGCCCCCACATTGAGAAGGAATTGTGAGGTCATGGCACCTAGCACGTCTGGACCGGGTAACGACCCGGGGATCTCGGCGACCTGCCCGGCGGCCGCACCGCAACCGACTTCGTGTCCCCAGAGATGTCCATCCACACGGAGCTGCCCGACGCCGCAGCCGCAGCAGCAGCCCTGCCAGCCCTGCGGCTCGGCCGCGCCCGGGCCCTCCGACTGCGCCATCCCGATCATCGAGCAGGCCACCGCCACCGTTCTCACCAATATACGTGTCCAACGTAAACTTCGGTTCGACTGGTGCTATCTCACATCCAAATCAGGTAAGTACAAATTACGAGGGGGAAGGTTTAACTTGAGTCCCGGTCCAGCACTGGAAAAAAACCACATTGGATCTAGAGTCCAGACTCTTAAAAACATCGACAAGAAAAAATACTTTTGATTCAATCGGATGTTTGCTTAAATCAAGAACCAAGCCTCTTAATTTGAGCGGATTTCCTTTTGATTTAAGCAAAAATCTGATTGAATCAAGAGTGTTTTTTCTTGTCGATGTTTTTAAGAGTCTGGAATCTAGATCCAACGTGTTTTTTTTTCCAGTGAGGCTAAACGCACGATAATAAAGATTTGTGTCAACAATACTGCCTTGCTATGGGAAAACGCCGTAAAAGCCTTCAGGCGATGTCAAATTTCTCCTGGAAAATAACTAATTTTCAGGAAAATTTTAGAATGTTTGTCTACCCATTTCTGAGCGAATTTTGTTTATTTGATCTGAAACGTTTGAAAATTTCAAGAAAAAATATTAATAATTTTCCTCAAAAATAAACATTTTATCGAGGGAAATTTGGCAACTCTCGAACGTTCATACGGCGTTCATGTCAACTGACCCAAAAGCCCGGCATGGTGTCAATATTTGAGGGCTTTTTCGACTAAACAGCATATATCCATGTCAATGTTGCTAAGAGTGTGCATAAATTTAACTGTTTAGTTGGTAGAGGATTGTAAGTTTGCTCTGAAAGCCTCAAATTTTCTTTCTATAGTTCTGAACATTTTTGCAGAGCAATGTGCAATGTGGGTGATTTCGGATAAACTTGTAAAAAGAAGGCAGAGTTGTGTAATATAATTTTAGCGACGTTCACATGGGCATATGGTGTTTCGTGCGAAAGGTCTTGATTCATTTGTTGACGATTGCAAGTGGTGGAAACTCGAGGCCAATAGTGATCATGGAGTCAATGATCTTGGTCTAAGTGTTACGGCCAAACCCTGAAAGTAGGCTGCGCCATGCGCCATGAGTGGAGAATCCGCGGTTTCATCAGACAAACGTGGGACTGACCAGTATTTTTCCAGTCGGACCTAGATGCGACAAATGCAATGTCAGTCAAATCTAGGCCTGACTTAAAATAGATCGATAAAAGAACACATAGATCGTAGGTACACTGATCAAAAATTATAAAAGCACGTATAAAACTTTGACTTCGTATAAATTTTCTCAATTTCTAAGTCTTAACCCTTGAAGACGCTTGTTTACAATGCGCTGTCGGCCATATATTGATTAATCATTCAAGTGCATAAGTTGGCAGCGGCACTTTCCTAGTGATTTTCGTTTTACACGTTGTCGCCCTGTTTGGACCCTAAGAGCTACATAGATCGAGTTGTCAATACTCTCCCTATAAAGGCACTCCAGTGCACTGAAAAAAACTCCGGCCGTGGGAGTCGCAATTACGGGCTGTATAGACATACCGTCCGTTCCGGGCTCAAAGGCCGAAAATTCCGGCTGCTGGAGCCGTAGCTTCGGCCTCTGAACCCGGAGCAATCGAAGCTACGCCTTCAGCAGCCGGAATTTTCGGCCTTTGAGCCCGGAACGGACGGTACGTCTATATATCCCGTAATTGCGGCTCCCACGGCCGGAGTTTCTTTTCAGTGATGCTAACATTTTCTTTTTCGACTCAAGGGATCCTGAAAATTCTAGAAATCCTGGTTCTAATCCTGGGACTGGTGGCGGCCCATTTCTACAAAGAGCTCATGAAACCGTTCGGGTACACGGCCATAGTGGCCCTGGTCCTGACGCTGCTCCTGCTCATCCTGTATCTGATCCACTTCATCGAGAAGTTCTACACGGTGCCGTGGCTCCAGATCGAGCTCCTCATCAACGCGGTCCTGGCCGTCGGCTTCGGGGGCCTCGGGATCTGGCTCATCACCCGCGGGGTTTATTGGGTCGCCGTCGCCAGCATGGTCGCCTTCCTCCTCTACGGCTACGACGCCGTCCTCAAGTGCATCGGCGTCCAGAACTACGCCATCGCCCAGGGCGAGCGAACGGTCGTCACCAAAACCACCCACTTCACCGGCCCCGCGACCAACGTGCCCCCACTGACCTCCTCCATGATCAACATCCCCCCTATCCAGATATGCACCTCCAACGCCAAGGCCAAACCCTGCAAGGCCGCTTGTAGCCCTTGCAATAAGGATCCGTGTAATAAGGATCAGTGCAATAAGGATCCGTGTAATAAGGATACGTGTAATAGGGATCCATGCAACAAGGACCAATGTAGCAAGGACCAATGTACCAAGGATAGCCGCCAATGCGGAGTTTAAATATATTTTCCTATTTTCAGGCAATGAATATTCGGTTTACCACCGTGCAAAAAAGAACCAATATCAATGGCAAAATGAGTTTTTAACAGCTTACATATATAATATCTTCTTATTAATCTCGATTGCGATCAAATATAAAAAATTATTAAGAAAAAATGTAATTTTGACATGATTCAAAAGGTTTTCTTTTCAGTAACAATGTGGAATTCAGTCATACACCAAATACGCCATCATCGCAGACAATCAAAAAGTATCCAAGACTCTCAATTTTCCTATTCTTCTTTTTTACTTTTTTCCCCAACAGGTACCTTCTTAGTTTCTCAGTAATGTAGTTGAGACTGATAATATGGAGCGGAACAAAGCTGTTCAAAGTTGCTTGTGCCATTGATGTTAGTTTTAACTCGAAGTTAGACCATTATAATGACGCCTTGAAGATTATTTACTTGAAATGTGGAAAATTATTCAAACTTACCATACACTTACATTTTATTTTTACTGTCACAATGTGTTTAGGTTCTCAATGTTCCTGTTAAATATTAATTTACCAATCAGTCGCCGACAAGAAAAATTTATTGTGTACGTTTCCATGTATTGTCGAGTATTTTATGAGTCCAATTTTGTACATGTTAATAAAAAGAAAAGTATATTAGACTGGTCATGCTTAATCGATACTAGAGGGCACGCCCTCTGACCGCTACGCGGCCCATTCTGCGTCCACTAAGGCCTTTTTGCGAGCCCTCTCGAGTTAATTTAAACTGAGCAAGTTCATTTGGACTACATTTTGCAATTTAGACCTATAAATTACGGCCTAGTTTTAAAACAACGTATGTGCCATTAGTTTCCCTATGCACTTACGTGTTTTTTCAGATGAGCCCGGATTTATAGGTAATATCTAAAATGTAGGCCATTTATTCCTATCAATACCTCCCACAGATAAGGTAAAAATCATGAAAATTGGCCTAGTACATCCTAAGAACGAACTGTGACAAAAAATAAACATTTACAATGTTGAAGTGGGAGAAAATTCACAACTTTTTCACGTACCCTAGGAAGGTGTATTTCCAAAATCATGAGAAAGCGAGCTTATCTAGAGATCATCACCTGCAAATAGTCACAAGAATCATAGTTTGCCCAGTAGAATGGTAGAACTAACTGTGACAAAAAATGAAAATCTAGGGGATCACGGAGCATATATAGTTGCAATAGGTATGTATGTCATCATACACACGAGTAAAAGGCCGTCGCACCGTGGATCAAGTCAATAGGAGAGGTTGGACAAAATTTGGAAACTTTAAACGCTTATAATCCCGTTTATACAAAAGTTTGAGCTTCTAAAAGTGGGTCTATTGGTTTCCTCGTGAAATTTTCTTCCAGACACTTTCCTTAGAATTTAAAATGTGACGAAATGAACATCAAAATTTGCAGTTTTAGTCAAAAATTCATGTCCGATCCCTCTAATTAACTCGATCCACTGTGCGCCGGGAAAGCGGAAAATTTGGCAAACCTGGCATCATAACCCCTCCTCTAATTCGCAATCTGCAAGGAAGTGACGCTGGATCCTGGACCTAAGAGATTCCCGGAAACGGCGAGAGGGGTTCAAACGCGGGGCTTCCGGGATCGACCAATTCCGAGAGCGCTATTGAGTCCAGGTATTAAAACGGGGGTCGCAGGGGGGCGAGAGGGGAGGGGGGAGCGTGCCCTGGGTGACGTGTCGGAAGACGACGGCGAGCACGGAATGACGCCCGGGCACGGCCGGAGGTTGGACGAAAGATGGATCTGCTTTTCTAATTACTTGCAAGTTTCCCCTGCAATAGGTTCACGCTGCATTATGCCTTGCACAATTAGGCGGGGCCCAGCCCATTGACTGACCTTTGACAATGAATTAGACCCGCTCGGCGCGCAGTTGCCGGAATGCCGGAAGGCCAACGTCAAATTCCTTCCGGAATCTCGGTCTTCGGGGCTGCTCATAAAACACGTAACGTTGAAATACGTAACGCTCCCTCTTTCCTCATTACGTAACTGTGACGCAAGTTTATACCCCTAAAAGTACGTAACGTTCTCCTTGATCCCTTCCCTCGAGAAGCAAACTCATCGTTTGACCTCAGTTTTTTCCCTTCTTTCTCTTGCTTGTATCGGGCCGTCCATAAATTACGTAATGCAATTTTTTAGGATTTTTAACCCCCCCCCCCTTTGTAACGCTTATGTGATGCAGGTCCCTATCCTTCACACTTAAAAAAAATGGCATAACGCTTTCCTCAACACCCTTCCCCCCTATAGCGTTACGTAATTTATGGACGGCCCTTAATAGAAATGAACAGAGGCAAAAGTAAAAGAGGGGCATGGAAACAAAATAAGTGGTCTGAAAATATTTTCAACAATAGCATTCTAAGATAAAGGGAAAATGAAACAATTTGGAAAGTATAAGACCATTTAAATAGAATGGGATGGCAAAAATGAAAATCATTTAAAACACAGTGTCAAGCGTTACTTAACTCTCTCTTCTCACTTGACAACCCGTAACGCAGACTTAGACCCCCTTCTTCCCTCCGAACAGCTTCCATATATATGCACCACCGCGCATGCTAAACGAATAAGAGAGCAATATGTGCAAAAGTAAGGTTTTAACAAAATAGTTTCGATGCGCTTTATAGAACGAGTAGACGACGGTTGATCAGGTAATCGATTTTAGACGCGATATTTTCGTTCGTTCTATTTTCTTTTAGTCTAACCAAAACAATTAAATATCATCCGAGTTTCTGAATCGTTACAATGAGGATACACGTTTTCCCTTTGATTATGGTAAAAACTGGATCAAAAAGTCAAGAATGGTGACACGCAGTCCTACAGCATTCCTTCAGTCTTGTAGGCGCTAATATGCGTTTCACGCTAACTGACCGATGGCAGTGCGTTTAGCGCAATGCGAGAAGTATTCATGCAGTCTTGTAGGCGATGTAATGGGCTTTACGCCGACCGCACTGTTTGGCGCAATGCGTGAAGTATTCCTAGAGTCTTGCAGGCGCTGGTACACGTTTAACGCCGGCCGCACCGTATTTGACGACGTATGAGCATTCTAACGTTACCTCGTTTCTTCCGATTAAATATTTTTTTCCGAGAAGAACTGGGGAAGTTCTTTATACTCACGACCATTATTCAATCTTTTCACTTCATTTATCATCAGAGGGTAAGACATCGATAGATTGTCAACAAACTAACCTTAACTAGCGTTAACATAAAAATGCGTTTATTTTCCAACTGTTTCCTGTTTTGCAAAACTTCTACCTTAAATTAATTTAATTTTAAATTCGCGCATTCCTGTAGCAGATGTTAAGGTTTCTATTCGCGCAATCCTCATATACTTTTTTAGACCTTTCGCGCAATCCTGGATTACTGCTTTTTGGCCGGTCGAGTTACGTTCATCAATTCGCTCGCAAATATCCAAATAAGACATCATATAAAGGCCAGTAAATTTGAAAATTTTGTGATTTTTTCTGTGAATTTTGAATTTTTTTGTGATTAGAAATTTTTTTCAATCATATTCGACTGTAGTGCGTCAACTATTGTATATAAGATTCAACCGATAAACACTTTGAAATTACTCCAAAAGCACGTCTCAAGTGAGCACTAATCGTGAGAGGAAAATAAAAAAAATTATCACTCTAATCGTAAGGGCTAGGAATCGTTCTAATTCGTGGTACGCGAGATGGCAGGATGTGGTGTTTCCTGCGTGTTTTTGTGGTCGCTTATCAAAACAATGAGAAATATGGTTGCTAAAAGTTGGCAGCATGGGTACCTCCTTAGTAGAAGACAGCAAAATGCACCGCTATCTTGCAGGATAATGTGCACGACGACAATTTTCACGAACCTGCTGCCCTATTACATATCTTGCTTGTTGCAAAAAGAACGGCGAATTTCTCTGTTTTGGAGAATCAGTCAGTTTATAAATTTGGCGAATTTTGAAAAAAAATTGTGTTCCTTCTGCTCTCTTCAGTAGAATGGTAGTTCATTATGTAGCTTCAGCTGTAATGCAAAATATTGCCAGTTGAATGTTGCTGACACCAGTTAAAAATTGATGATAATTTCGTGCGAAACAAGCCATTCTCATTCCAGTTTGCTTTCAATAAAAACTAACTTGATCTTTAAAAAAAGAAAAAAAAATGCCGAAACTTCAAAGGTTTCAAAACATAAAATCCTTCAAAAACATTAACTAAAAGTTTGTACAACCACCTTAATGTTAAATCTCAAAACGCTGGGCTCAGAGAAAACGCAGTATCCGCAGACGGACATAGTCGAATTTCCTCTGATAAAAATACGCTTTCTGTAAAACGAGAGTGATTCGCTTTTAATTTTCCGATAAACCCATTTTTCGATCCATTTAATACATCTGAAAATTTCAAGTAAACTAGTCAGCACACAGTCATCCATACTCCGAACGGCCTTCAGATCTACGTCCTATTGTTGAGTAAAAAATGAATTATGAATAGAGAGAAAAATAAACGGACCTAATGAAATCTCAAGAATTAATATTTTCTCGGAACACTCCAACACGATAGGTACAAGAGATGCTACCTTTTTTCCATTGTCACGTGAGACCCGAGGTTATCCAGTACTCTAAGAAAATGTTTTTTTGGTGCCCATTGTTCCTCTTCCTTCACTACTCGTGCAACCCTTCTCTCTAAGACCCTTAACCCAAATAAACTTGAATATATCAGAAATGAAAGCGATTAATCCTTCAGATACGATGAAACAAGAAGGAAGTATGAACTATTTGACATTGAAGTATTCCATATTTCAAACTCGCGGCTGGAGAGGGTTGAAGGGGGGCGGAGGGGGGGCGTAATGACGCGAATGCACTCCCTTGCGGCGCCTCCTCAACACTTGAAACTTGGCCCTTGCTTCTCCATTCCATTCAGGGCAGAAGAATTTCTCAACATATTTACAATACCGTTAAAATGTGGTCTCGTGCGGGGATCTTTCTCTTTTCATTGCTTCTGAAAAAAAATGATGCTCCCTTAAAATTAAAAATCCGAAAATACTGGCACCTTTTGAAGAGCCTGCCTAAAACACCCTTGGGGTGGGGGAATCAGGTATCTCGTTCGAAATTGGCCTAAACGAAATCTATGTTAAGAAAATCATCCAGTAAAACTTAAAGCTTCAGTTCAAAACTAGTTTAGGCAATGCAAAGTTGCAAGTTACCATTTTGAAAAAGTTTACATTTTTCATCATTGAAAAATAATAATACATATATTTTGTAGTTCCTCGGTTGAAACCACTGTTGATCCCTTTTTGTTTGCCGAGGCACAGAAACATCAACTACAATGAATTTGTGCGTCAGAAAATAAAACAGGATCGACTGAGGTTGTTTTTTTTGCCGAATATCTTTAAAATATTAGCATTTTTCAATGGTAAATAATGTAAACTTTGAAACGCTGTATTGCCAAAACGAGCTTTGAGCCCAGGCTGAAACTTTCATAAGGTTCCTTTTAGGCCAAATTCGAACAAAATTTCTGAGTCCTGCAAAAAGGGGGCACAAAGAGGTCCTTTTTTTGACAGGCTCTTTACATTAACCCCTAGAAAAAGCACGATCATGGATCAGGCTCTAACGGTATATTAATGAGATTCTAATGGTGAAGAATGTCTGAAACTGTATGAAA